TAAAAAACAGACACACACACACACACACACACACACACACACACACAAACATAAACACACATAAACTAAATGAAATACTATACATATATAGTATATATATTTATATGTATAGTATATACACATATATATATATATATATATATATATATATATATATATTGCATATTATTTCTATATATACCGAACATATTTTATTGTGAGTATATAATAATATGTAAAATATGCCAAAAATTACTATTTGACATTTTTATGACAATTATGCACATTTTTTCATTAAATTGCCATCATATGTATTGCTATCTATAAAGTATACTATTATAAAAAAGTGATATGATATATTTAAGTTCTAAAATGTATTTGATTTGCTGTACTTACTGTGTTTTTTTAAATAAAAAATTGATAAAATGTGCTCAATTGTATGAGAATGATGCAGAAATAATATGCAACCAATCTCTTAAAAATGGCTTTATTTTGTTTATGAAAAAATGTAACTTATGTTGTTTTTTATTTTGATTTTGTTGTTTTAATGTGACATGTTTTTGTGAGATTCACCAGCTTTTTTATTATCGCCTTCAATAATGGCTCTTTCACTGGCTGATGTGTGGTGAGTAGGTGGACATCATTCGGAAGAGGCTCCATAAAGACATCCTCCACAACCCCGTGGTCATGCTGAACTTCTGCCCAAACCTCAGTTCAACGACCTCTGACCTGCGGAGCATCCAGGGGGAATTCATCTTCCTCATTGACCGCAGTGGAAGCATGAGTGGGGTCAACATCAATCGAGTTAAGGTAGGATGCTTGTGTTTCTGTGTTAAACTAAATCTGCCCCTCACTCCCAATGCTCATTAACTTTTGATGACAAACCTAATTTATTCTGCAGTTTAAAACCACAAAGTGCTTCAGTCGTGTTAATAACCATTAATGGAAATGGGTTTTTATATACACACAGCAGTGCTTATTTAACGATGAGACGGATCGCCCACGTGTGTTCAGCAGTTTCAGTCTGATTGGATGGTTTTATGCAGTTTATGGGAGTTGGAGAGTTCACCCAAAAAATCACTTAAAATGTACTCACCCTCAGGCCATCCAAGACGTAGATGAGTTTGTTTCCTCATCAGAAAAGATTTGGAGAAATGTAGCATTACATCACTTCTCTGCAGTGAATGGGTGCCGTCAGAATGAGAGTCCAAACAGCTGATAAAAACATCACAATAATCCACACGACTCCAGTCCATCAATTAATGTCTTGTGAAGTGAAAAGCTGCGTGTTTGTCAGAAACAAATTAAGACGTTTTTTAACTTTAAACTGTTACCACTGGCAAAAATATGAGTCCTCTATCCACAATATTGATTCAGTGAAAAAAAGTGGTCTCATCTGAATCAGGAGAGAAAGATGCACAGATCAAGCACCGCTTACAAGAGAAAACACTCCAAAACAGATCTAAACAATAGGCGGGGCTGGATGGGCAATATATTTAATATTCACAAAGTATTCATAATGATTTTACTGAAGATCTTAAATTGAACAAGATTGTGAATTTTAAGTAATTTTAATGCACTTTTTCGTCCATTATGTTTTTAAACCATCATGTTTCAGAATACATTGTTTTGTGACTTGCAACTTTCTTGTTCTCACAATGCGTGCATTAAGACAGAGATGTTTTAATAGAGTCACTGAATTAAACTTCTCAGAGTAGCAAAATCAGTTGAATATGTTTCACTGAACAGGGTGAAAACTTCAGTGATTTGTTTGTATCGTCATTCTAAAATGTTCACTTAAGGCCCCATATGGCTTTTGTATGGCTTATAAAGATAAATAAAAAGTGTGAGAAACATGCCTTAATTTTTAATCTTTGCATAAACATGTTGTATCTAACTGTTTTAGAGTAAATACACTACCGATCAAAAAGTCTGGGGTCAGTTAAAATTTTTAGGAAGAAATTAATACTTTCATATAGAAAGGATGCATTAAATTGATCAAAAGTGACAGTACAGACATTTATAATGTTACAAAAGAATTTTATTTCAAATAAATCCTGTTCTTTTGAACATTATATTCATCAAACAATCCTAAAGTTTCTTGAGCAGCAAATCAGCATATCAGAATGATTTCTGAAGGATCATGTGACACTGAAGCCTGGAGTAATGATGCTGAAAATGAGGAATAAATTACATTTGAAAATATATTCCAATAGACAACATTTATTTTAAATTGTAATATTTCACAAATTTACTCTTTTTACTGTATTCTTTGCTTAAATTAATGCAAACTTGGTGAGCATAATAGACTTCTTTCAAAAACATAAAAAAAAATCCAACCTAACCCCAAACTATTGAACTGTTGTGTACATGTTGAGATATATTTAAATTCATAAGCTGAAATAAACATGTAGTTTGTTTGTTTTAATTGTTTTTGCTACAGTATTTTACTGAACATTATGCGGCTTTGTAGTTCTGAATCAAATCAGAGCTTTTGAGCAGCCTGTTGAAGGGGTTTTGTGATGAAATAACCAGCTTGTTGCATTGAATAGCTCAAGCAGGTACGATAATTGAACTAGGTAAGTCTTCATGCTGAGATTGGAGATTTTGTGCGCTGTGAGCGAGCACGTGTGCACGTGTTCCCTGTTGACGGGGCTCTGCAGTGTGATGCACGAGCCAGCGATGACTCACTGTGGTTTTGATTGAGGATGTTCCCCTTCTGACCACAGACACCAAACTGCTCTAATGTAAAGGCTCAGGTCACTCTAGTGGTAATATCCTTCCCAGAATATCCTTGACTCTGAAGAAGACTTGTTCCATGCTGAAATGTCATATATGATCCCTTCTGGGCTGGAGGAGGACAACAGTAGATGTGTCTAATAACATTGAAAGGAATCGTTCACCCAGAAATGAACATTTTGACAGAATGAACAGCAAACAGAGAGAAATTTTAAGAATTGTGATGGTAATTTCTGCTATGCATTTACCCAAAAATGAAAATATGCTGAAAATGTACTCACCTTTAGCCCATCCAAGACGTAGATGAGTTTGTTTCTTCATCTGAACAGATTTGGAGAAATTTAGCATTACATGTTCACCAATGGATGCTCTGCAGTGAATGGGTGCCGTCAGAATGAGAGTCCAAACAGCTGATAAAAACATCACAATAATCCACACCACTCCAGTCCATCATTTAACATCTTGAGAAGTGAAAAGCTGCTCGTTTGTAAGAAACAAATCCATCTTTAAGGAATTTTAACTTTAAACTGTCACTTCTGGACAAAATACGAATCCATAATCTATAATAACACTTCCTCCAGTGAGTGAGTAAAATTTCAGTAAATTTTCATTTTTGTGTGAACTGTACCTTTAAATCATTATTTAGTGAGTTGACCTCAATAACTGAATCAGTGCAATTCGTGAATGAATCATTCAGATACATTTTGTATCTGACTCAAAAGACATAACTCTCATGAAAACTTTTTCAGTAAATTATTATACTTTATGGTTGTTTTGAGCATTTCTGAAGCTTGAAAGCCACTATTCTTTGTAATTGCATGGGGAAAATGTATTTATTTATCTATTTTTTGTTTCCAGATTTTCTTCCACAGAAAAACAAACCAAAAACGTCAATTACTAAGTATCTTTTCTCATTGTGTGTCAAGTTCTGTTTGAATTTGTGTGGAAGTGTTTGGTGAAGATAGACTTGTTTTTTTATTAGAACAAAACTGGTGATTAGTTTCTTAATTAATTCAGACCATATCATTGTGAAAAGTGTGAAAATGCTAGAACTCTTCTTCATATCTCATTCATATTTACAAACTTAATTATAACGTCATGCTAATTACTCGCCGCTGTACCTGCTGTGAATCTGTCGAGAAGCAGCATTATAAATGATATATCTACTTTCAGATGAGACAGAATGGATGTCTGACCAGTATAATTGTGGTGTTCAGTGAGCGCTGCTACACTGTTGTCTAATGGCTCCAGGTCTGCTACCAAAGATTGTTGGTTCAATCCAAGCAAGGGTGACACAGTTGAAATGCCATTAGCGATCGACCACTAATCCAAACATTTGGGGAACCAGGTCACCCTCAGTGTCTATAATGGTTACGGCACTTAACCCTGTAATTAGGTTAATGAGAGTTGCTTTACATAGGAAGCAATGTTAAATGGCAAATGTCTGTAATCTCTGTTAATGCCTGTAATAATTTATTAAAGCACTATGAGTGTCAAATGCAATGAATGATGTAAACTCAGTGTAAACCATTATATATAAGCACCTAAATATAAACACATGAACAAAGTACATTACAAATCACTTATACAAAATATTTTAAAATTAAAATAAAATGTTTATTAAATAATTTTTTGTATATGTAAAATATATATTTTTATAAGATAAGATTTTTATAAGATTAAAATATTTAATAATTATTATCAGTTGTTACTGGTTCTCATCAATGCTGAAAACCTTTTTTGCTGCTTAATATTTTTGAGGATGAGTAATGAAAAATACAGCTGTATTTAAATGTATATGTTTTTAAATAGTAATATATTGATAAATATGTATATTTATATAATATACATATTTTTTTAATAAGTAATGCAGAATCATTCACGTTGACCTCTTCCTTTTTTGTGCGTTCACAGGACGCAATGGTCGTGATTCTGAAAAGTCTTTTCCCAGCATGCTTATTCAACATAGTGGGCTTCGGATCTAAGTTCAAAACGCTGTTTGTCACCAGTCAGAGCTACAATGAGGTTAGTCACCCGCAGTCAGCGTCCACACTCACTGATCATTAGATCAGCAGTTACTGTCCAGAGGATCAGTGCTTGTGTTTGCCAGTGGAAAAGGTCTGGGTTTATAGAATGAACTTCCAGTAAAGTTTCGTACTGGGTACATCATTTATAAAAACACTGCTTAATCAGTGCACTGCAAAAAAATTATTTTCTTTGTCAGTATTTTGTGTTGTTTTCCAGTACAAATATCTAAATATTCATAAATCAAGATAAATTTATTTGTAGACAATTTACTTAAAAGCATTAAGTCTTGTTTTCTGAAAAATGTAGCAAAATGAAGTGACTTTATGCTTAAAACAATAAAAAAAACAATCTGCCAGTGGGATAAGAAAAATAAAATTAATAAGCAGCATGTTTAGTTATCTCTGTTATCTCTGTAGCAAATAGTTTTTTTTTTCTTTTAAGCATAAATCTAATTAAATTTAAAGAGGTTTTTGAAAAGGTTTGACAGTGGACTATAAAGAATTATATATATATATATATATATATATATAATAAAGTATTGTCTTATCTTAAACATTTTTGTTTCTCAAGTAAATATATCTTGTTTTAAATATATTTAGATATGGTAGATCTGGCAAAACACAAAACAAGATAAAAATACTGATTAACCTTTTTTTGCAAAATTGTTAACAAACCTCATTTATTTCACAGGAGAGCTTGGCGTTGGCTTGTGAGCATGTGAAGAAGATCCGCGCTGACATGGGCGGCACAAACATACTGGCTCCTCTCAACTGGATCCTACGGCAGCCCATGCAGAGAGGTCATCCTCGCCTGCTCTTCCTCCTGACCGACGGAGCCGTCAGTAACACGGGGAAAGTTATTGAGTTGCTCCGCAGCCACGCTAGGTTCACCAGGTCAGTGTTTGTACATTCACATTCATGCATTTGGCAGATGCTTTTATCCAAAGCAAGTTACATTGCATTTAACTTTTATCCAAAGCAAGTTACGTTGCATTTAAGGTGTACATTTGATCAGTTCATGCATTCCCTGGGAATCGAACCCATGACCTCGGTGTTGCTAGCGCCATGCTCTACTGTATAATGTGCTGTTGCATTTTAATCTGTGTTTGTGTTTATCAAATATGATTATACTGTGTAATTAAAAGGTTGTGCTAATGTATTAATCTAAACATTTGGTACATTTTAGGACATTTGGAATGGGAAAGATTGGAATCCTATTTTTTTTGTTTGTTTATTTATGTGCAATTATAGTAATTATTTATATCTAGAATTAGATTTATTTGTATTTGTATTTTAGTTGAAGTTTTAGTAACTTTATGTGCTTTTGTCTTTTTTATGTTTTTTTTAAAATTCTATTTAGCTTTAATTATTTATTTCAGTTTTGGTAATTGTTGTACTTTAACAAACTTGTTTTATTTCAGAATACGTTTTAAGTTTTGTATAGTATAAGTTTAAGTTTTGCATCTAATATTTATTTATTCAGCTTTATTTCAATTTCTAAAAACTAGTTGTAGTTTTAGATAACAACAGCACTGATTGTGAACTCTAAATCAAATCAGATCCGAACTGTGACACAATTTAAATGTTTTTTTTGTATAGATTTACAATTATTCCCCAAAATATACTTAAGGACATACATGTGACTGGAGAATTTGCACTATGTAAAGTTGAATATTGACAATAAAGGGTGAGTGAATGATGACCGAATAATCAGTTTTGTGTGAACCAGCTCTGCAGAATATGCTAAACAGATAATAATAGATCATATTGAATAGCATACAGTATCACAACTTGGAATATAGTGCTCAAATCACACATTAATATATATACTGTAGATGAATATGGTGCCTGTTTAGTGCTTACCAGCCCCTGATCACAATATGTTATAATTTATATGGAAAAGAGCAGCTTGAACAGTTTTAAAAATATCCTATTTTATTTTCCACGTATAAAAGCCATAAGGTTTTGGAACGATTTGTTGATTAAATGAGTCATAATTCAAAACTTAAATTTTTGGGTGAACAAATCCTTTAATATCAGAGGCTCAAGGATACAGAGCTGCAGAATTCAGGTAATCAGATCATAATCCGATCAGCACAGCCGCTAGAAATAGTAAATTGTTGTCTCTCCGTCTAATCCTTTTAGATCCACAATAGCCATAAAGCGGCTGTTATCACAGGCTTTGTTTCCGCACTCTGCTGCTTCCGCGAGGCTTCCAGTCAATTTATCACCTGCCGAGACGTTCACCTCAGAGAAGCACTTCTTTTCTTCCCCGTCCTCCTAGAACAGATGCTACAATAGCTTTCTTTCAAATGAATGGAGGAACCCGTGGGTTTTAACAGCCGTTCCTGCAGAACAATAGACACACGATGGGTCTGAAAATAATGTCTTATCTTACACATTTTTGCTTCTCAAGTAAATGTCTTGTTTTAAAGACGTTTAGATATATTGGATCTGTCAAACACAAGATAAAAATACTGATTAACTGAATTATTTTGTTTGCAGAAGTGTCACTATAGTTTAGTTTTTTATAGTTTGTTATAACAAACCTCATTTATTTCACAGGAGAGCTTGGCGTTGGCTTGTGAGCATATGAAGAAGATCCGGGCTGACATGGGCGGCACAAACATACTGGCTCCTCTCAACTGGATCGTACGGCAGCCCATGCAGAGAGGTCACCCTCGCCTGCTCTTCCTCCTGACCGACGGAGCCGTCAGTAACACGGGGAAAGTTATTGAGTTGCTCCGCAGCCACGCTAGGTTCACCAGGTCAGTGTTTGTACATTCACATTCATGCATTTGGCAGATGCTTTTATCCAAAGCAAGTTACGTTGCATTTAAGGTGTACATTTGATCAGTTCATGCATTCCCTGGGAATCGAACCCATGACCTCGGTGTTGCTAGCGCCATGCTCTACTGTATAATGTGCTGTTGCATTTTAATCTGTGTTTGTGTTTATCAAATATGATTATACTGTGTAATTAAAAGGTTGTGCTAATGTATTAATCTAAACATTTGGTACATTTTAGGACATTTGGAATGGGAAAGATTGGAATCCTATTTTTTTTGTTTGTTTATTTATGTGCAATTATAGTAATTATTTATATCTAGAATTAGATTTATTTGTATTTGTATTTTAGTTGAAGTTTTAGTAACTTTATGTGCTTTTGTCTTTTTTATGTTTTTTTTTAAATTCTATTTAGCTTTAATTATTTATTTCAGTTTTGGTAATTGTTGTACTTTAACAAACTTGTTTTATTTCAGAATACGTTTTAAGTTTTGTATAGTATAAGTTTAAGTTTTGCATCTAATATTTATTTATTCAGCTTTATTTCAATTTCTAAAAACTAGTTGTAGTTTTAGATAACAACAGCACTGATTGTGAACTCTAAATCAAATCAGATCCGAACTGTGACACAATTTAAATGTTTTTTTTGTATAGATTTACAATTATTCCCCAAAATATACTTAAGGACATACATGTGACTGGAGAATTTGCACTATGTAAAGTTGAATATTGACAATAAAGGGTGAGTGAATGATGACCGAATAATCAGTTTTGTGTGAACCAGCTCTGCAGAATATGCTAAACAGATAATAATAGATCATATTGAATAGCATACAGTATCACAACTTGGAATATAGTGCTCAAATCACACATTAATATATATACTGTAGATGAATATGGTGCCTGTTTAGTGCTTACCAGCCCCTGATCACAATATGTTATCATTTATATGGAAAAGAGCAGCTTGAACAGTTTTAAAAATATCCTATTTTATTTTCCACGTATAAAAGCCATAAGGTTTTGGAACGATTTGTTGATTAAATGAGTCATAATTCAAAACTTAAATTTTTGGGTGAACAAATCCTTTAATATCAGAGGCTCAAGGATACAGAGCTGCAGAATTCAGGTAATCAGATCATAATCCGATCAGCACAGCCGCTAGAAATAGTAAATTGTTGTCTCTCCGTCTAATCCTTTTAGATCCACAATAGCCATAAAGCGGCTGTTATCACAGGCTTTGTTTCCGCACTCTGCTGCTTCCGCGAGGCTTCCAGTCAATTTATCACCTGCCGAGACGTTCACCTCAGAGAAGCACTTCTTTTCTTCCCCGTCCTCCTAGAACAGATGCTACAATAGCTTTCTTTCAAATGAATGGAAGAACCTGTGGGTTTTAACGGCCGTTCCTGCAGTACAATAGACATGCGATGGCTGGGAAGTGAAGCTGTGGTGTAATTTACTGCCTTAAACAGCACTTGCCCTCCACAGACGATCGAGAACAATCACAAATGTGTCTTGCTGCACTCCGTTTCTCTGCTGTGAGGACACGAGTCAGCTTTCTTTGCTCGTTAGGGAAGAATCTTTCTCAGCAAGCTGATCTGATTGCCCATCCACACTTTAGTAAATGGACAGATGTGTTCCCTGTTCTCTCATATCTCGCACGCAGATGTTGCTGCCTACACTGAAGGTCACTCATCGTCAATTACTACTGTTTGTCTTCAGATACTGTGTAGTAGAGCTGGTATGTTTTACTAGCTCAAATCTAGAGATTGTAGAAATCTCAAATATAACTTCAATATATCAGCTAGTGAGCTGCCTACCTAGACAGCATTTTAATGCATCATAGGCACTGTAGTAAGACAGCATATCTTCATGCCTGAAATTAGCGTCAGTGGCGACGTTTTACTGATGTTGTGCACATCGCAGAATACAATGACATGAAAAATGAAGCTTGCATAGCTAAAAGCATGGTTTAAGACTTTTTTGGCCAAATTGTAAAGAAAATCTAAGAATGCATTGGGACAAGGTCACTGAAATCATTCACAGTCAAGAATCAAGAAAAATGTTGTATTTTGTATTTATTTATATTTAACGGTTTTATTTGTATTTATGTATATTTATCATATATATACTTACACACTTAGAAATGCATAAATAAATGTATTTAAAAAATGAAATGAAAATTGACTATATTGTACCCAATACTCATATGTAGTCATTTATTTTTATGTATTTTTATATTAGATATTATATAAAATGTAGTTTTTTAAAGTCTAATGAAAAATAGATGTAGTACCTAAAACTAATATGTAGTATTTTATTTCAGCATTTTTTTACATTTATTATATATTTACTTATATATAGCTCATTATGAATAGAAATAGGGGGAAAAAATGTATTAGGAATAAAAAGTGTAATGATAAAGGGACTGTTGTACCCAGTACTGGTACGTAGTAATTTTGTTTCATAGACGTACTGTATATTAAAGGGACAGTTCACCAAAAATTTGAATTCTGTCATTAATTACTCACCCTCATGTTCCAAACCTGTAAGACCTAAAATATTGTGCACTGATTTTTCTAGAATAACTTTTGCTGCCGAATTATCCACTAACCTAGTTTATGATAACATTTTTGTCATAGATTATAAATATACATAGGCCTATATTTTTTCATATTTGTTTATTTTATTTTTCTTTATAATGATGTAGTCTGTATCTAGTAGATTGTGAAAGAATGATTATCAGTTCCACACACAGAGATATATAAATTCTACATTTATTTAAATGAGGGAAAAAAAACTTCACTGGTATCGGCCAATACCGAACCCTAAGTATCGGTATCGGAGGCGAAAAAGGCGGATCGGAGCATCCCTATATTGTGATAGAGAATAAGAAGCTTACGTCTGATTTCTTCAAGCGGTTGTATTTACCATGTTTACTATGGTAACGTTAATGGCTAGTGTGCATAGTCTTTTGCATCGCTTATAAATATTTCTGCCTTGTATGGTGATCATAATCCACATCGGATCAAGTTATTTCAAACACTCGCTGCTGTCTGAAAGTGAGTTTTGAGCTAAAATTATTTTAAAAGCCTTTAATGCTGGTGTTAGCTGTTAACTTTATGAAATGATCCGCGGCGCTGGCGCTCTCCAGACATGGAGAAACTCCGCCTTTGTTCATAACCACTCCTCTAGCCCCAGCTGGCCCACTTTGGCCCAAGGTTTTCGTCGGGCCAAAAAACCCGGGGCGTTGGCCCCGAGGAAGCACCGTCAAGGCACAATCAAGCCCCCGAAGTGACAGTGCAAATGCGACTGGCCCTGGCACGCACTAGCACGCCCGCTTTTGGCCTGACAGTGGAAATGCGGCTATTACTACCTAATAACAGTCATTATTTATGTTTTCTTTGCGCACTAGAAATATTCTCGTAGCTTCACGAACTTAAGGTTGAACCACTGATGTCAGATGGACTATTTTAACAATGCCCTTACTACCTTTCTGGGCCTTGAATGTGGTAGTTCCCTTGCTGTCTATGGAGGATCAGAAAGATTTTGGATTTCATCAAAAATATCTTCATTTGTGTTCCAAAGATGAACGAAGGAGGGTGAGTAATTAATGACAGAAATATAATTTTTGGGTGAACTATCCCTTTGAGTATATATTTACTTACATCTTGTTTATTATGGAAAATATAGAAATATAGTTCCCTTTCAGTCAGTCACGTTCGACGTTACGTCAGTCGTGACTGACGAATTGGGATCTCGCCCGAGAGCCTAATCACCTTCAAGTGTTAACTAAACAAGCCAATGACAGTTGGTACTGACGTAACGTCTCCGTTCCCTCCTTCAGGGAACGAGGGTTACACAAGTAACCGAGACGATTTATTTAAAAAATAATACAATCTAATGAAAAATGGACTGTTGTGCCCAATACTGGTATGTAGTATTTTTTGTTTTTTATTAGTTTATGTAATTTATACTCATTAGAATATTGTGTTGTTAGCTTTGCAACATGCTAACATGAAACTGTATTGGAAACAATACTCTAAAACCAAGTTGGTTTGTTGGTCTGTTTGCAGGTTTTAGTGGGGTTTTGGTCATTTTTCAGGTTGGTCTCTTAGCGTCAACCATGTAAATCAGTTTAGGCCGGTTAAACAGTTTTCAGCATTGTTGTACTGTAAGTCTCTGTTGAGGAGTGCCGTTTGTGTGCCGTATGCAGTTGCAGCCTATATGTAGAGCGTTCTTAATCAGACAGTTTCAGTACGGATGCTTCCTTAGAAGGCAGCTGCCTATGTAGGCAGTAGACAGCAAGGCTGCTCGCTAAGTTACAGAGAGTTGCACAATCTATGTTAGCTGCTGAAGAAGATTCAAATAAACAATATGAATAAGTTTCTTCCTGTCTTTCTGACAGCACGCTTGCCAATCCCAGAATTAATAAAGCAATAAAGTTCAGCGAATTAGACTGATGTTGTCTGGCAGAGCGTCACCCAGTAGAGATGTAGTTTCTTCATAATGTGATGCTCTTCTGATGTTTTCACAGACTCACCGCACCTGTCGTGTCTCTGTGTGTGTGTTTGCATCATGGCAGGTGTTACACATTCGGTATAGGCCAGGGTGTGTGCAGGAGGCTGGTTTTAGGACTGGCTGCCGTTTCCAGAGGCACAGCTGAGTTCCTGGCAGAAGGAGAACGACTGCAGCCCAAGGTCCTCATTTCCTCTGACATGTTTATCTTCCAGTGCAACAGTCTGCTATTTCGAATGTCACCGCAAAGCAATTACAGCAGCCACGTAAATTGTGGAGTGTCCAAATGTATTAGCAATTTACAATTCGTTTTGTTTAGTCAAACATGAATTAGGATAATGATCAAAGCTGACAGTACATTTAGTGTTTTTTCCTTCTCTCTCTGGTGTTTAAGACTAGCATCTATATATTTTCCCTGTGTTAGTTCTATAGACTGTGCTCTGTTGATTGAGTTCACTAGGTAGTGTTTGACCTGGCTGTTATTTGTTTCTTTGGCAGATGATTAAGTCACTGAAGAAGTCCATGACCTCAGTGCTGACTGACATCTCCATTGAGTGGCTATATCCAGAGACAAAGGAGATCCTGCTCTCTCCAGTCGGGGTGAGCTGTCTGTTCCCTGGTGACCGGCTGATTGGATACAGCGTGGTCTGTGATACCTCCCGATATCACTCCAACCCCAAATCAGTAAGTCATCCATCCATCCATCTATTCTTAAATATATCCATCATTCTGCAATTATACTATGTATAATACACACACATACATGTATATACTGTATGTATGTATGTACAGTGGGTACGGAAAGTATTCAGACCCCCTTCAATTTTTTATATTACAAATATTTCTTTAATATATACATGTATGTGTATATAAATATAGACTAAAAACATAACACTTAATCTGTAATCATTATACTATATTTTTATACTATTATTATTATTAATAATAATGTATTATTATTTATAAATATATAATAATCTATATTTATTAATTAATTTATTATTAATTAGGAATATGTAGTTTTATTGTTGTATTATTAATATTATTTAGATAGATAATGTTGTTATTTGAAAATATACTGAATTTTCATATAATATCACATAAAAACAACAATGGTTTATCTGTAATTATTATACTATATTTTTATACTACTATTTATAACAATAACAACAACAACAACAATAATTAATATTATTATTATTATTTTAAAAATACTGTATTTTAGTATAATGTAGAATTTTTTTTGTATAATGTAGAATTTACATGATTAGGGTTAGGGTTTTATTTATTTAGATGATATTTAGAGTAATTATCTGAAAATACTACATTTTGATATATTATAAGATCACATATGTGAATATATAGGCTTTTGTGTACTAAGTATTATATTTTTTAGTATATAAATTTTGTTAATACAAATAAAGATTTTAGGGCAAAACAAGAAGCTCCCAAGCTCTCAGATGTCTTTTCTCTGCTGTAACAGGACAAACGGAAACGATACAGCATGATGCGTTCCAATGAGTCGGCCAGTTCAGTGTTCTATCACTCTCAAGAGGAGGATGCTGGGAAGGTTTCCTCTGACGGTCAGGGGCCGCACAGGGACAATCAAGTCAGCTCGCTGTTTGACGGTTGCCAGGAGACCATGTCTGAGAGCAGTCCTATCTCTACAGAGCAAGACATTATGGGTAAAGTACAGCTCTATACAGCGTAAATGTGTACCATAAAAAAGTCCATAAGACTTGAGAGTTACAGAATTTTCATTTTTGTATGAACTATTCCTTGGAGTCTCCTGATGAAAGAGAGGTTTCTTTATGAAGACATTCAACAAACATGAAGATAAATTGAGTGAAAATGAAAAAGAAAAATGAGACAAATGATTTTTTTTTGCACAGGAACTGACACAGCCACCTCTCCGAGAAGACGTGCTTACAGCACCAATCAGATTGTAGATTACAACCCCATGAAGAAGGCCTACACCCCCAGTGACCCCAGCTCAGTGGTGGGCAAAAACCCTCTTAGAAGAGCTAAAGTCCAGGAGCTCATTGGACAGACACATCCTGACCACGGAGCTCACTGGAAAATGGACTACCAGGTTGGTAAATGCTAAACCATAAGGCTCGAAACATGTGCTACACAAATATGTGAATACAGAAGCTTCTTACTACGCATGATTTTGTGTACTATTGCTTTCCAAAATATGTTTGAAAATGTGTCTATAGCCATTGGAAAAGCCTACTTTGAGCTTCAGACTGCGTTGTAATTTTAACATAATTTGAAGTTGATAAACTACAGTATACTACAAGCTACAAACAAAAAGTAACTAAGTACATTACATAGATTACTTAAAATATACTATCCAATTTAATCAGAGCAGATCTTTGCAATGTGGGGTTTTGTACTAATGAACACTCAATTAGGTTGACAGTATCAAACTTGAACAGGTAAATTTATACAACCAAAATACCTTTACATAACTCAAAAACATTGGTGAATCATTTTTGTGAATCAGTTAATTAAAATGACTCATCCAAACAAACCATTTGGATGAATGGATTCACTGGAAAGAATCAGATTTCCCAACACTACATACAGTATGAAAGAAAGAGAACTGTTTAAGATGAACCGATTCATTTGAATGAATCAGATTTCCAAATACAACATATAGGATAGAGAACTATTCAGGATGAACCAATTCACTAAAATGAATCAGATTTCCCAGCACTACATATGAGATATCAAGAACCTTTTAGGACGAATTAGGATGAATGACTCATCCAAACAAACCAAATGCTTTCCCTATGCTACATATGAGAGTTTAGGATGAAGCAAGATTTCAGATTTCCCAATACCATAGAATCAGAATGAACTGATTCACTAGAATGAATCAGACTTTCTAAAGCTATGAGAGAAAGAACAGTTTAGGGTGGAGCATTTACTAGAATGAATCAGTTTTCCCAAGACTACATATGAAAGAGAGAGAATCATTTAGGACGAAGCGCTTCACTACACTCTAAAAAATGCTGGGTTAAATATAACCCAGCGCTGGGTTAAAAAGGGACAAACCCAGCTATTGGGTTGTTTTGACCCAGCGGTTGGGTTGTTTTTAACCCATGAATGAATCAGATTTCCCAGTACCACAACTGTTCAGAATGAACCGATTCACTAGAATGAATGAGACTTTGCTTTGAAATGACTCATCCAAACAAAGCGATTGACTAGAATGAATCAGACATTCCTATGTTACATATGAGAGTGGAGACCATTTTGGCCAAGTATTAATGTCTGCATTTGTGTTCTTTGGGTAATTGGTCTAATGGAGATTTATAAACATTATGTGCCTTTTTTATGAATGATCATATCTTATAATACATATCCTGAGTAAGCAATAAACATCATAACTTGGAAATGATAAGACAAGATTTGTATCTGTAATCCCCTTTGTGCCTGTGTGTTTTGACACAAAGCAGACGGCTTCTATTTAGGAAGTAGTTGTTTTCCTTATAAGTAATATCTGTAGGCAGCCTTCGCCGTGCCATCTGCTATAGCCCAAGCATCTGCTATGATATGAGAAGAGCTCCATGGATTCGTCTGTTTGTTCCAAAGGGTTATTTGAACTAATTTCTGAGCTCTTTGATGAGAATGTAATTCAATCTTCTTACCGCCACATCCACATAAATAGAGTTTAGATTGCATAGCCAGTGGAAGATGAATTACAGTTCCCTGGACGATTAAGCGATGGAAGCATGTGCATAAAGGAAATATGTTTTTTAGGTGGACTCTTTTGTGATGCGCACCCACGCACTGAAATATAAATGCACCTTTGGAGTCCAGTGGGAGAAAAAAGGTTGGCGGACGTCACAAAAGATGTGCCAGTGTTTGAACTCGGCCGAAATAATGAGGCCAAAAATATCCCTGACCTAGAGACAAATTGATATGTAATCAAGTCCACAACGGAGAGGTGTGCATCCTTTGTGACTGATAATGATGGCCGTACTCATGTCTTGCATGACAGTAGAGCTGAATGGCTGAGGAAAACCCTCCCCATTTACAACAGGCCTCCTGAGGAGACTTAAGGATGCTTATATGCTTATTGAATCGAGGCTATACTAATAGACTACAGTACCTTTCTAGCTCTCTGTTTTGTAGGTGCATTGCTCAACATTTTTGGTGCCCACCCTGTAATATTTTTGTCAGGTTACCTAAAATGTGCTTGAGTTGTAAAATGTAACGAATTAAATTGGGTTTATTCAAGCCAATAATATTGATATTTATTATTTAAATAGTATTATATAAATGCAACATATTTACTGTAAATAATATAAACAATTAAATATTTGATAATTTGATATTTTTTTCTATGTTAGTAGTAGTATTATTTAAATGTTAACATATTTAAATACTATAAACAATTAAATATTTATTTAATTTAAATATGATTAAATTAGCAAGATGTTTTCATGTTAGTTGTCGCATTCCTCAATATTTTGGGTTGCCTTGTCAGGTTACCTAAAAATGTGCTTTATGTGGTAAAATGAATCAAACTGTGTTTATTGTTATTGTTATTATTTAAATACTATTATATAAATATTAACATATTTAAATAATATAAACAATTACATTTAAAAAAAAATTATTTAATAAGAAATACTTTTTTCCATGTTAGTATAGTAGTTTTATAATATTGTCTGAATATTGGCAAATTTAAATAATATAAAAAAATTAATATTTATTCATTTTTTATTAAAAAGCAGTACTTTTTCCAAGTTGGTAGTAGCATAGTATAATTTCATTTAAATAATATAAACAATTAAATATGTATTTACACATAACATATTTAAATAATATAAACATTTAAACAATATTTAAATAATATTAACATCATGTGCAACTAGAGTTAAAAAGTATTTATTACAAATATTTATTTAAATATTATTTAATAATATGAAATAATTAATATGAATTCATTCTTTTAAAAAAGGATTTATTTTTGAGTAATTGCTCTTTCTTCAGCATGCTGGCTGACAAAATAATGACATGTCCTGTATTTATCTCTCCTATTTTATGACATTGTTTATCGAATTCAATGAGTTCAGTGATATTCCCACATTGCTGACACCCTGCCAAGAGACAGATTGAACATCCAGACACTTGCATTTGTCGTCCAGGGTACAATTAGTTCTGACAACTGTGACAAAACCCTTGATGGCCATGATAAAATTTCTAATGTCACGCTCTTTGAAAGGGGAGAAGATATCAATAGTCTGGGTGACACTCGGCACTGCAAGCAATTGCCCGTGGAAATTTGATCAAAAAGGGAGTGAGAAATATTACAGATTAGCTACGGCAATAACAAGAGTCCTTGATTTCCCCTCAATGCATGCAGTAATGACTTTAATGGTCCTTATTAGCTCTTCAGCAGGCATCAATTTTTCATGAACCAAACTGCCATTAGACCCAAGTGAACAGAGAGCCATGGCTGTAGGAACTGGCATGGTTCTGGCGACTCAAAGAATCACTGGGTTCATAAATTCCCTCTACACGAGGTGGAATAAATTAGATTTCCTTTCACTACATGTTGCCTTCATGCTGTTAAGTACAATGGGAAACACATTCAGAGTTGTTAGCATTAGCACCATTACTGTGACACTGTGATTTTTCTTTAGTTCAGGAAATGAGCAATTTTATAACTATCCTGATGCTTTGGTTTTCTTTAGTTCAGGAAAAGAGCAATTTATAACTATCCTGATGCCATGTCCATACATTGATGGGTAAAAGATTTGTCGGGTTACCTAAAAATGTGCTTTATATTGTACTTCTGAGTTAACCTGTCAAAAAAATCAAGTCTATATTATAATATTAATAATTTGTATATTTTAATATTTTATTTTTGTATATTTAATATATATTGAATATTTCTTTTTTTAATGTAATTATTTTTAAATACATTTTTTCCCAGTAATGTTTCAAAATGTTTACTGCTAGTAAAAAGTTTGTTTGTGTGTTTTATTTCTGAAGGATTATGCGACACTGAAGACTGGAGTAATGGGTGCTGAAAATTCAGCTTTGCACTACAGGAATAAATACAATTTTAAAATATATTAAAATAGTAAACAGTTCTTTTAAATTGCAGTAATATTTCAAAATATTACTGTTTTACTGTATTTTTTCATCAAATGAATGAAACCTTGCAGAGCAAAAGACACTTCGTAACACTCCAAAGAGAAAGGAAAACTTGAAATCGCATCATATGACCCCTTTAATTATTCAAAATTTTTGACTGGTAGTGTATATTATAGTATTTTTTGAATTCAATTTACATTTTAATATTTTAATTAATTTATTGATTGATTGATTTTTAAAATATCATTTAAATGTTATCATTGAAATAAAATTTGCATTTTAATATTATAATTAAATTATTTTTATTTTTTATTTTTAAATAATAATTTTAAATACAGGCATATTAAATAATTCAAAATATAGGCATAATATTTAATATACCTATATTTATAATTATGTTATGTGTTTAATATTATAAACCTGTATTCTATTTGTGTTGTCTTATATTGTTGTACTTTTTTCCCAATAAATGAGATTACATGCTCTTTTAAAGGGAAAGTACTCTTCAACAGACATTTGAGTGCTCTTAAAGGGTTAAATATTTGCCATAATCTATAACTGTGCCTGAGTTATTGCGAGATGATGATCTGAATCTTAAAATAGGCAAGAACAATTAAATATTCAACATTAGAAGATAAATGTCTACATCAAATGTGCCATTTTGGATTGGTAATTCAAGTACAGTGAGCAAAAGGACTAATGAACTGTTACTAATTTCTCCAACAGCCACAGTTGGCCAGCCTGTGTGCCACCTCCTCAAGAGGACGTCCCATAACTGCTCACAAACCTCTAGTGCAACAACCAGAGGGTCTCCAGGGGGAGTCTAAAATTGATCAGACCCATCCCGGCCCAGTAGTGGCAGACGGTTCCAGATCTTCAACTGACAGCCCTTCTCTAGGCAGCACCGGCGATGCAGGTTGGTCCTTCACTACAGTCCTCGAGTATAAGAACTTCTGATGCATTATAATCTTAGCACTGCCTGGTTTAAGAGTTAAGCCGGCTTTTAACACTGTCATTTAAAAACCCATAATCAGCTGCACAGTGTGGGCGTAGAAGCACTTAACAATATACAGAGAGCGCAGACTTGAGAAAATACTCCTGAATCTGCTAATCAGTTGTAGTTGTAAAATCTGTTCTGACAAAAAAAAAAAGCAATAGTGAATATGAATGTTTCTGATTTTGTATGCCTCTAACATTTTTCATCAGCTAGATATCGCTCTTTGTTGAGTGTAGTGAGGAGTAAAAACTCAACAGTCCAGCAGTGATAATATCAGTCTGTCTGTTGAAGGTTGTTTTGACATTTGTATACTTCTAAGTATAAAAGTTTAAACTCCAAGTATTCAAACCTGGTATATGCATTGCATTTCCCAGAAATCTCTATGAAAATGATTTTTAGATTTTCTTTTTTTCATTTTTAAATTCGACTGGAAAGATCATGGAAAAGTCATAGAAATGCAGTGGTCAAAAGATTATTTGATAGATATTTTTAGAATAGTTCAAATGTTTTTGAAAAATATTTTGTCTCCTTTGCTCACAAAGGCTATATTTATGTGATTAAAAATACAGTAAAATAGTAATATTGTGAAATATTATTACAGTTTAAAATACCTGTTTTCTATGTTTTCTATATTTTAAAATATAATGTATTCCTGTGAAACAAAGCTGAATTTTCAGCATCATTACTTTAGTCTTCAGTGTCACATGATCCTTCAGAAATCATTCTAATATGCTGGGTTGCTGCTCAAGAAACATTTCTTATTATTATCAATGTTGAAAACAGTTGTGCTAAACTGTGATACATTTTTTCAGGATTCTTTGATGAATAGAAAGTTCAAAAGAACAGCATTTATTTGAAATAACAATCTTTTTGTGACATTATAAATGTCTTAACTGTCATTTTTGACAGTGTCCTTCCTTACTGAATAGATATATTAAAAAAATGAATACAAGTAAAATAAATGAATTAATTAAAAATCATACTGACCCCAAACGTTTGAACTGTAATGTACTGTGAGATAATAAGAGTTGCCAATAAATTTATAGATGGTTTCAGATTAGCAGATCTGTTATTGATTTAATACTGGTGTTTAATATACTATTAATGTCTCTCAATTCATAACTTTTAAAGCATCGCCATCAAAACACAGCTTATTTAACCAATCCACAGCATACGGCAATAAATTTCAAGAATGTCAGACTTCAAATCGCCTGCTGTGAGCAATTTTCCTGTCATTATTCATAATCCGTAGGTCTTGGTTTTTATGGCAACTATCAGCTAATAGTTTTGTGCAATAAAAAGATATTTAACCTAATTGCCTGTCAGTTACCATATTAAACTTCAGACATTGCATTTTTAAGAGAATGTGTCAAGTCTAAAGCAATTTCAACACTAAAAAAAACCTTAAGGCATTTGCGCTTCATCCAGCTGTTTTTAAGCATGAACATATCCTAAAAATGACATCTTAACAGAATCTGATGTACCTTAATTATACAGGGTTCCTCTAATCAACTAACTATTTAGGCAATCCAACAACTAGTCGATTTGAAAAATATCCATGCAGCTGTTTTAACTTGTCATTTAAGCTGTTTATAAGCTTAGCCAACTGGTTTCTGATGTTTTCAGCAGGAAATGCATCGGTTAATACTCTGAATATTTTGTTTACCTTCTCTGTATTTTCGAACAGATGGCTACACGCATCAGCTTTGCGAAGTCGAAACGCCCCAGGATCCTCACGCGCCAGAATTCAAGGCCAGTCACGGAAAGGGAGACTGCAAAGCGGTCATATCAGGACTGCTGTGCGGGAAACCCATGAGATGGGAAGTGGCCTTTGACATCCAGCCTTACCTGAAAGGCCGAGAGCGGGAGGAGAAAGTTCACGAGGACCTGTGGAACGAAACCTTCCATCACCTGGCGGGAAGCTCCATTATTCAAGACTTTGAACACATGGCGGACAAAGAGTGTGAGATTGAGCATGGTAAGGAACTGGAGTCGAATTGCCAAATATTAAAACATCCAACTTACTTGAGTATCTGACCAAATCCCTCAACTATATCATTTCTTGTAGGTTCTGGGAGAAGGTACCAGCTTTACGCCATCCACACGAGCAAAGCCTGCAACATCTTGAGCAAATACACAGCATTTGTACCTATCGATCTGGACAGCAATGAATATTTACCCACCTTCATTGAGTACAGCCATCCTGGTAGGTCATTCTTCGAATTCATCTGAACTCACAAGGCCTGGCAGTTGCAATAATTACGTCAAAGACACTGTTCTCAGAAGGAAGAAAACAGGGAGGAGTGCAGGGAAACAGACGAAGCAGTTGTTTCTGGCTTAAGCACACAATTAGATCATGGTAATGACTCCTTGTATATTTGTTTATCTCCAGGGGAGGATCATAAACGAAGTCCGCACTGCAGTTCTCGTTCCAGCAGCAGGAAGAACCGAGGTTACTCTGTAGGTCTGGGGCGCTCGCAATCAGGAGGTTTGCCTGGGCAAGAAGATGCAGCACTATGCTACAGTAAGATTGATAACAAAATAGTGACAGTTTGGCTTGTTTACAAGTGTGGAGTTATGGGATGGAATATTGATGGATCATAAATAATTAGATTTTTATATTGCATGAAAGATTTTTCTAATGCTTTGGTCTATTGAATGCATTGGGAGGCAATGTCAATTGGTAGCCAAGCAGTTCATTGACAGTGCCACTGGTTAAATGTCACAAAAATGCTCTAAAACATCATAACTTTGGGATAACTTGGCCTACAGTCAAATATGTATATGCTTTTGGGAAATTTTGAACAGATTTACAGAGTTTGTGTACAGTCCTCACTGACAAACTGTCAAATCTTCACTCAAGAGTCCCAGTAGCCTCATAAAACTGAAGCAAAAGCTCCCACAAAAATATATGTATTGTCAGAGTATTCTGAGAATACCATATCAGTTTGGGGACAAGTTGGTCAAAATATACACTATACTGTTCATAAGTTTGGGGTCAGTGAGATATATTTTTTTTTTTTAGAGAGAGAAATTAATACTTTTTTTCAGTAAGGATACATTAAATTGGTCAAAAGTGAGAGTAAAGATATTTATAATGTTACAAAATATTTCTATTTCAAATAAATGCTGTTCTTTTGAACTTCCTATTCGTCAAGTAAATGTAAAAAATGTACCACAGTCTCCACAAAAATTCGAAGCAGCACAACTGTTTTCAACACTGGTAATAAGAAATGTTTCTTGAGCAGCAAATCAGCATATTAGAATGATTTCTGAAGGATCATGTGACACTGAAGACTGGAGTAATGATGCTGAAAATTCAGCTTTGCGTCACAGGAATAATTTACATTTTAAAATAGATTAAATATATAGAATACTACTTTTACTAAAATCTCCAGCAGGGGTGCTATGACCAAACAAACACACAGAGTGCATGTTATTGTAAACTCTTCTGGAGTCCACATGAATCTTCAGCTCAGACCCATTTACAAATGCACTTGGATGTGATTCCTTAATGCTAGTTCTGAAAACAGCTTTCATACCAAACTGATGTCAAAAGGACTTCTGTCTGCACCCTAAAACTCTTCTTTGCTCTACAGACGTAGACAATGCATCTCAATCCTCCTACAAATCACCCTCATCCTCCAGCTGGGAACGATGTAGCTCTTCTGAAGGTACTTTTTCTCCGCCTGTCTGCATTCACTTGGTTACTTCAGTTATTACAAGTCTTGCAGGTATTCAAGCATGCCAAAAACAGCAGCATTAATCACTCAAGCTCGTGAATTCATTCATTAGATTTGACCTAGAGGAGCACGGATGAGTTTATTGAGTGCTCTTTGCCTTGGAGTGCAGTGTATTTGTTTGTGTGTGTGTGTGTGTGTTGGGCCATAGAAATGATCAGAAACCAACCTGCTCTCTCTTTCAGCCTCTCAAAGGAATGCGTCGGTGACCTCCGACCCCTCGCAGAGATCAGTCGAGAGCCTTTTCTCCGCCAGGTGGGTGTAGATAGAGGGAACGAGATGGGGGAAAGAGCCTACAAATCAAGTTGCACAATTAAAAACACTGTAATTCACAGAACACAAATGAATAATTCAGCAGTTTGCATCGCTCCTGCGCCATTGTTTTAAATCATGAGTCGAATTTGCATTTTGATTGCTTTTGGTAGTCTGTTGGGTGCATGTAATGAGTTCAACTCTCAGAGAAGACAGACATTCATTAGTCATTAAAAAAAAAATTAAAGACAGGAGATGCGTAGACTGAAAATACGACAGTTTCGTGCAGGTATTTAGTTTATTTTATAATCATTTTGCTGTTGATGTGAAGTACATAATGCTTTATTACAATTAAACGAGTCAGTGTGACAATTATCTTTTCGCAAGTGTTTGTTCTATTGAAGTCAAAGGTTTTGCTATTAGCTTTTTCCTTTAAAAAAATTTGCCTAAACGTCTTGAGTTTAAGTGAATTTATGAAGTAAAGGATAATCTGAAGAAGTGTGAAAATTAGAGGATGTAGTCACAACCACTCAGTTTCAGTTTTAATTAGCGTTTGGCTTTAAGAAACATTGGAAGAGGGTGAGTTAACTGCAGGGTGAAGCTGTGGGGGCGGGGTTTTGGTGGTGATGTCACTTAATACTGTAGGCTTAGCTCATGAATATTAATTAGGATATGCACAAATAGTTTTATGTGATCTAAATAAATGGTTAATGCAGTGTATTATTCTTTGATAAATAATTGGTACAAATCCAGCCTGGATCATGTACTAATCCCTTTCAAATTCCCATATCTTAAGTACAATAATCCAAAATTTAAAACAAAAGATAGATGGTACTCTAGACACCAAAATAAACACTTCCCTTTCGTGTCTGGAATCTCTTTCACAGTGTCACCTCCCGCTGTCACTTGAAATGTCAGCTGAACTAATGACCAAAACGTGAGGAGCAGCGCTATCAGGGATGTGTGCACACTACACAAATTAATGGATGTGAAGGGGCAGATTTCACCTAGAAAAAACACTTTAGACATGTCTGTGCATTTAATGACGACAGTGAGGCACCGGAGTAAAAGGTGTTGTTTCTTTTTGCCTCTAGCAAGCTGAGCCTGAGCAGGACGCGTCTCTTGACGAAAGCCGCCAGGGGCTTCATGAGCCGGTCGCAGAGCAAAATCAGCAACTCCGTGGGAGAGAGCGAAAATGACAACAAGGACTACATCCCTCTGGTTTCTGTCGCCATATTCTGCTTTCAGGATGCTGATGCTCTGTGGTTTTAGCAGAACTTACAGTTGAAGTCAACATGAAATTGAAATTGCCCCTATTGACATTTTTAATACATGCAATATATGTGTGTGTATGTGTGTGTGTGTGTCTGTATAAAATTTATATAAAATCTACATTTGTTATTTATATTATTTATAGACATGGATTATCATATACATGGATGATTTGTAATATATATAATATATTATATATAATATATTTAGAAATGTGTAGTTAAATAGATACATTTTTACGTATATACATTTGTTTTTTTCTCATTGTGGGAGTAAAATGGGTTCAACAATTCATGTTGACTTCAAAAGGTCAGCATAAAATGCCTGACAAACCTCAACTAGTAATAATGATGTCATTGAGTGTATTGCATCCACTCGCCTCATAACCTATAAATAGCCGGTCAATACTCACCTTGCACACAGAAGCAGTAGTCTTTACGTATAGTGAGTAATAGATCTGTTGACATTTAACAAGCACTGATCAATATCTCATGATCGCTGTGTCTGGTTAAATGAGATGTGCTATTTGAGTAGAATATATGGGTCATGGCAATTACTCAAAGTAAACGGTGATGAAGCGTAACAAAATCAGTAGAGCGTATTTTTAAGGCTAATGTAATTGACAATGCTTAAAGAACTTAAATGGCTCATTGAAGTTCTGTCTCTGAGCTTGTTTATGTTTAAGCACTGATTAAATAGACATTATGGTATCTACTTCCTGTTGCAGGTGTCATTGCAGCTGTCCTGTGGGGCGTTCATGTTGGACAGTGCCTTGTGTGACGCCATCAACGTGCCCATGGACAAGCTCAAGTGGACGTCACCCTTCACCAGCCACAGAATCAGCCTTACCCATGTGTCCCACTCTGGCTCCCGGCGCTCTGAGAGTCTGGAGGTCCACCACGGCTCATCACCTCCTCCAAAAGACTCGGACTTGAACTCCGAATGTGAGGAACTGGTGTCCCGCACATCTTCATCCTCATACCAGGCCCGAAGCCCTCGGATGGAGGGCGAGCCCTCGCTGTTGAGTGGCTTCTCGTCGATGTCGACCGAAGCCCCGCTGTCGCCTATCAACTCTTTGCACGACAGTGGACGGGAGTCTGAGTCAGAAATCGCCGAGACGCCCTGGCTGAGTTCACCTGGGATCCTACAAAGGGCCGTGCAAGACCCTGAGGGGATGGTGTGGGCGACCGCGGTTGCTCTGGCCTGGCTGGAACACAGTTCGGCCAGCTATTTCATCGAGTGGGAGTTGATCGCAGCCAAGGCCAGCATGTGGCTAGATGAACAGATCATCCCAGAGGGCCGAGACCTGGCGGCGGTCAAAGCCGCGGCCAATCAACTCTTCATCATCCTCAGACACTGGGACGAGAACCTGCAGCTCAACATGCTCTGCTACAACCCCAACAGCATGTGAGTCCTGATATGGTAGGGACTAAACTTCAAACTATGCGAAACAAGGGTTTTACTCTCCTTGAGTTGTTTTAATGTTTATTCTGTGGGTTTCGTTTTAGTTTTATGAATAGAAATCGTACCAGTATTTCATCCGCCTGAAGGCCAGAAACATACTATGCGCAGGTACGTAGATGCCAATGTATTGCAGGCTTCCTATTGTACATATGTAACTTGTGTTCTTGCGTTGCTGTAGCAGTAGCAAACCTGTAAAAGACTGTATCTGTCTCAGATGAAAAAAAAAATACAGGAAGTTAAAAAAGTACTCACAGTTGTGAGGAAAGGTGTAGTTATAAGAAACAGATGCAACTCAGTGTTATTTTAGTTTTTTATTTATATACAGTATTATTATAGTTTTTATTAATATTTTTATATTTGTAAATTTATGTTTTCAATTTAAATTTTTTCAATATAAATTAAAATCACATTTTTTAATTTTTGTGTTTTTTAATCTTACCATTTAGGTTTAATTTATTATTTATTTCAATTTTTGATTATTTATTTCTAATTAGTCATTTTAGGGCTTCAACTTCAACTTATTTCTGTTAGTTGCCAAGGCAACATTTCTGATTTTTCTTTAGTTTACGTTTTTCATCTAATATTTATTTTGTTTTAGCTTTATTTCAATTAACAAAAAAGTTTTTTAGTTTTAGTTAACGATAATAACCCTGTTGCAACTACAAGAAATAGTCACAATTGTGTGATAAAATGCACAATTACACTATTAATTCAAAGTTAAGAAACTAAGTTGCAATTGTGAGATTTACGGATATTGTTGCAGTTACAAAAAAAATTAAGTCGCAATTATGAGAAATAGTCAAAATTATAAGATAAAAAGTTACAATTACGAGAAATAAAGTCAAAGTCACAAGTATGTTTTATAATTTTTGTATTCTGAGGTGGAAACAAGCTTGAGTACAAACTTAAGTAATCGAGGGGGAATATTGTTTCCTTTTAGTATTTGCACCATTAATTCAATCACTGTTTTATTCATTCGGAAGTAACTAGGAAGTAATGGGAGTAAATAGGTGCAATAGCCGCCTTGTTGCAACATTGACAATGCAAGCTGTACTTCCCACATTTCAAAACTGTGAAATCGAGTAGCATCCTGTTGCTAGAAGTTTTGGAAATAAACATATTTGCGTAGAGTATATTCTGGGCCAAACACCACCCAAAAAATTTGCATGTCTTTGCAAGATTGTTCGTATTTTTTTATCTTGTCTCTGAAATATTGATGTGCATATGGTTTAATGAACTGTCTGGTTGCTGCTTTGGAAGATTTTGTAACATAATCATTAATTGTAGGAAGCCTTATAGTGACTTGTTCATTAGTTGATGTGGTTGACTGTATATGTGCTGTCAGAGGATCCAGTGACTTATAAGATGCAGATACATGTATAACATCATGCAACGTACATTCGTTTGCCTTTACAATTGTTAAAGATGTCAAACCGTCGCTGGAACAACACTTTCGATTGCTGTAAGTGCTCTCCAGTCTTAAGTGCCTAACCTTGCAGAACTTTCTGGACTGTTGATTTGAACGTTGTACTGTTACTGCAATGTGTAATTGATTTTTTAATTTTGCTGATTATATTTATTGCTGTGTATGTATTATTATAGTACTTTGTTGATGTCAATTCAAAAACTCTACAGACAAATTCTAAAAGAGTGGCTGTAAATGTATGTTAAAAAGTAGTCTAAATGAGAAAATACAGAAGCTAATGTTTCTCTTGTTATATCGAATCGGTTTATTTTATTATCATACGTATTACTCCTCAGGTATTGCTCTTGAGTACTGTTGTCTAAGTAGATGCATGAGTGGTTTGTGGAAAGATCTTTTATCTCAAGGTTCTTTTCTGATCAAACCTCTCCTATGCGCTTGTGACGGTGGCAGCTGGTTTGTGAAAATTGCATTACGTCAATCAGTTGTACTTTGTACTTAAGTGTTGAATTCTCTTCAAGTCGTGCGTACATGCTAGTGCAATGCTGGACTGTGTAACTACATGTAATAAAGTTTATTGGATGAAAAAATGGGTCTCATTTTGCCATCATTTTAGAATTCTGGCTGCATTCACACCGACATTGATTTGCACCCACAAAACTATTGGACAAAATGCAGTTTCAGTGTGAATTGATGATTTGGGATGTCAATAGTGACTGAGCTTTATGCAAATATGCAATATGTATTGATGATGCAATGCAGACTACCTAAGCCTCCAATACTTGCAACCTACTTAGCAACTTCCATCAATTTAAAGGAATAATCCAAAATTACAACTCTGCCATCTTTTACTCACTCTCATGTTGTTCTAAACAGGGTTATTATAGTGAACCAAAACTACCACCATAAAAAATTGTTACTTATCAAACAAACGAACTAAATATATTATATTTAATTGCAGCTAATTTCTCATTTAAACTGAAAATTAAATAAACATTAAAAAAAGACAAACAGGGTCATTATAATTAATTAAAACCATACAAATAATTGTATAAATTAAACATGAACTGAAATAAAGTTTAAGATTTGTATATTTTATTTTATTGAAACTTAAAAGGTTTATTTCAACTGTCAACAAGACAATTTCTAATTTTCTTTTAGTTTAATTTAATACTATTAATACTATACTAACTAAATAATAAAATTAATATGAATAAATAATAAAAATGACAAAAACTAACAAAAAAAATACTAAAATGTACATTTTTGAAAATGAAAATGAAAGTAGGAAAATAAAAAGTTAATAAAACTAATTCAATTAATGATGACGAATTGTAATTGTAATGTAGACACATGCATTTTCTGTAAAGCTGCTTTGAAACGATGTGTATTGTGAAAAGCGCTATACAAATAAATTTGAATTGAATTGAATTCAAAATATTAATAAAAAATACAATAGTATCTCAGTGTTACTAAAAAAGAACACTGGTTCTAAACCTGACTTTTTTTTTTTTTGTTTGTTTGCTTGTTTTCTGTGGAACAAAAAAAAAAAGAATTTTGAAGAATGTTATTAACCAAATGGTTTCGGGTGCCACTGACTTACATATTATGTACAAAAAATATATGGAAGCCAACGGAACACAAAACTGTTCTGTTACCCACATTCTTCAGAATATCTGGTAGCACATTATTTTACAGTACGTGTACTTCCCTGGTACATACATGGCAAATATCTTGTACCTACAAGCAAATGAGTGGTAACACAAGGTACTTACCTGAAGAGTATGTATGTAACCCCTCTCTCCCGGGTCCTCACCGCCACACCTCGTTCTTGTTCAGAGTGGGTCTCCGGCGTGGGAGGCGGACACACTAACAAGGAGGCTAAAGACTGCAGCCACTAGCATGCTAGTGCGTCTCTCGAAATCGGGAGTGAGGTTTACCTGCACAGCACCTACTCGCTGGCCTCCGTTACATGTACATGGTAACAAATAAGAAACACGGCTGTCATTATGTGGATATCATTGTGGTATATCATTAGTATGTACAGCAATGTGTCTTATTAGTTACCATATACGGATACTGTAAGGACGTGCCTGTTTGTACCCACTTGTCCATAAGTACTACATATTTACCATGTATATACATTAGTAAGTACAGTAAAGTATTGTAACGGGGTGAAGAATCACACGACAAGTAATCTCAATCAATACCCCGGAGGGTGGATTTATTGGGGTGATGGGTGATAGTGAGAAAGGTCCAGGTAGGTGCTCCGGTGCCGTGAGTGCTCTCTTCCGTCTTCCCAGTGCAGAGGGTCCGTGCAGTGCTCCTGTGGGGCTGGTCGGTCACACGCTGCTGTCTGTGGGAGAAATGAGAGGGCGAG